CAGTGACTAGTATTCAGTCATAAAGACAGTGACTAACATTGTTAGACATTTATATAACATAAGTAACAGCACTTGTTTTTATCAGTCAAAATTTTCATTCCTCATAATTTTCTTTAAATTTCTACTTGGTGATTATTCCTCTAACTTTGCAGTTTTAATGTAGTCAATGATACAATACATAGAGAAGGAAAACTTTTACATCTGTTGTCTCCATTATTAAATATGTAGGAATAATGATTGTTCCTACCAATCTAGAAAACTAAAGAAATCAATTTTAATTTAATGCAGATCTTATCATAAATTCATTATTAACTTGTTAAACTTTGCCTTAATTAGTCTTTTGTTTTATAGACAGTTATCAAAATAAATCTCTTTTAGAATTAAGAACTAGAAGGAAATAAAATAATATACATATAAAAACTAAAAAACTTGAAAATTTTGAAATTTTCTGTTCAAATTTTTAAATGTTACAATTTTTCACTTAGAATATAAATTAAATGTTAAGACCATCTTGAAGTGAATGATTCATTTTGGAATTTGAATTGTTTTATTATACATTGATCCATAAACTTTAAAATAAGTGCTCTATTAATATTTGACTGATAAATGTTTATTAACACTAACAATGTTGAGAGTCATAATTAAAACTATCAATTTTTAATAACCAATGTTCATTAAATACACATATTGACATCCCTTTATTATAGAATGTGACACACAGAATTGTCATTGTTTCTTTAAATGTCTCTCATCACATCAACTCTAAGAACATCTATCGGAAAAACATTGTGATTTATTTAAATCTGTGTCTACTGAACAAGCACAATTTCTGGTCCATGACCGGGACTCAAGAATGCCTTGTTGAATGAATAAAATATCTATAATATATTATATATATAAAGATATAAATATATATAATATATATAAAATATATAATATATTATAACATAATTAAAAGGGTGAAACTTACGAGAGAGAGAAATGGCCATCCAAAAACCCAAATTTAGACAGATAACTAAAACAAATATATCAGCAAAAAGAGCTGCTGGTGAATCATTGGAATTGGTATATTTAGTTTACATGTGTAAATTACGTGTGTGTGTGTGTGTGTTTAGGGGGGCTGTCAGCATGATGGGGTCAGGAACAGTGGAGGATGAGCATACCATTGGGACTGAGAAATTTAAGGTAGACCTAACTTAGCAACATCATCCTAAAAAATTGTTAACTCATTAAACAAATATTTATTGGGTGCTTGCTGTTTGTACTGGTTTAAATTGCAACGATGTAGCAGTAGATAAAGCAGGCCCTCTACTAAACTCACTCTCTAGTTAATGAAAAAAACGTTTTGAAGGATAAGGAAGGTTTATTTGTTACAGAGACAACAGCAAGATATTTTTCCCATTGAAAAGACAACATTTTAGATCATCTCTGGAAAAAAAAAGAGAGAGAGAGAGAGAGAGAGGTGCTCAGAGAAGAGTTTCCAGGAATTCCACCTAATTCTCTGAATGCTGAACAGATTTTCCTGGAAAGAAATTATTCTTATTGCCTGACCAAACTACCACAACACGGCATTTTTATCCAGGTTCTTCAGAGTCTATCCATAATGGGAATGAAGATAAAGGGAAAATAAAGGCTAGGATGGTATACTGAACAGGAGAAAACTGTTTAACAGGAGATGAAAAAATAGGAATAAGAGAATATTAAATTATATTTAGATTTTATTTGCAGAGCAAGTAGAAATGAGAAAAAAAATGTTTATGAGAACAACATCCTGCTTGGCTCAGATCCCCTGTGATTATATTCAAACCAAGGTATTAGTTTTTACCCTCTCATATTTCTTTAGAATATTTTACTCAATGTGGTGAACAAATATTTTTAATCCACCTTATTTACTTCTCTGTAAAGTTCAATATATTATAGTTTTCTTTATACTTAAGTACAGATCTCCTTTACCATCTTTTGTAATTTTTATCTATTTTTCTTTTATATATGTGATCCTCAAAATATACCATAGTTATCAATTATATGGAAATTGTTATGTTTTTATTATTTTGTACTTATTAAAAATCATCTTTCTCTTTTAAACCCTAGAAATTACACATTTTTATATTGGAGAAGCCCTGAGATTTCTTTGGAGGGATGCTTGAAGCTATCTCATTATTAAAACTCTATCTTGACCTATTATTGAAGAAGAGACATTTGCCCACAACACAACTTGTGAGGATGTAGGAGACCTACTTCTCCCATTGAGGCCACCAATATATACCACATCTCTCAGTAGTGTACATTTCTTTACTACCTTAATCACTCTAGTTTCCATATCAGTCAACATGGTGCAAAAAATAGTCATTTTCCTTTGCCACTTATAATTTTATTGCTTTGATTTCTAATTTTTTTATTTTGCATAAATGTATTTTAATAAGCTAATATAGTCTAAGACAAAATATAATTTCAAGACAAGGTAAAAATATGTAGTCACTATGACCATTTTTTTTTTTTTTTACTTTTTGTACTTCCAAATTCACTGGTTGGTTTTAATGTACTCTGCATTGAAATTAAAATCTTGCCTATAAACCTTGTCTTCCTTCTTCATAGTCTAGTTTTATAAGGGCAGAAACATTTTTGTAGGTAGATTCATCAATTCACTGAAAATTGTGTAATTTAACAGCCTCCAGGCTGTGCAAATTTAGAGACTTAGGTATTCTTCAACTCAAGTGCAGTTGATTAACCTAAGGATTTAGTAGTTAATACAAGTTACACATTTGCACAGTCATTCCTAATGTTTATAAAGGTGTAAGGTTTGCATAACATTTGCATTGTTATCCTTGTCAATCAGCTTTAGCCACTCTTAGCTTGATATGAGTCGACAGGTGGTTGGGATATGTATAGAGGCATGAGGCTGAGAAAAGCAGTTAATGTATTTGGTCACATAAGATAAAGATGAATGCAGGGTTAGGAAAGGGTTCCTTAGTGACCACCAAATTTATTGGACACCATTCTTTCATTTTAAAAGTATTTAGGACTATTAATCCGATTCTTCCTTTTCTCTTAACTGCAGTATTTTCATTAATTGTGGTCCTACTTTGCCCTTTTAAAAAGTTACCTTCCTATGTGGTTGCTCTCTTCCTTTTCTAATGATAGCACACAAGAAAATCATTTAAACCATAACCTCTAAAGCCACTTAATCACATCTTACCTATAAAATGGAGTGTGTTTTGTCACCACAGTACATTCACTTTGGCATTAGAAAAGTAAAATCTTAATTTTCAGAGTTACGGAGTTGAAAGGATTCTACCACAAAATGCGCGTGATGACATTTACACAGCCTCAGTGACACAACACTTGAGAATGAGAACTCCCAGTCTCTGGACTGTGGCCCACCTGCAAGTCATTAGAGGCCATAAAATGTTTCTCAAGTCCTGACCATATTATTTATAGAGCTTGACCAGCCTGTCAGAGAATAATAACGGCATTTTATACTTCTGCTGTGCCCTACATCTCAACGTTCCTTACCAACATGAATAAATTCTTATATCACTTCTGTGCAGTATTGGATAAATATTATGACATCAAGTTTTACAGATGGGGAAGTAGAAAATGAAGTACAGATGTTAAACAATTTTATCCAATCCCAAGTTAGTATGTAGCAATTTTCTACAGGCCATATAAATAATATCAAGGATCAACACTGATTTGTAGGAAAGTAGGGATGGGTGGAGGGAAGTGGGGCTCATTTAAGTCAATTGAATATAGAAAAGCCACAGTGGGAGTAGTTAAGCTAAGAAGATGATTAAAGTAAAAAAGAGGGATTAAGTCACTATGATTTATTTATAGTTCCTATCCTACTAACTTCCATAAAGGATTTGAAATTGGAGAATTAGGATATCTCTTCTCCCCTAGGGTATTTCTGTAGGAAAAAAGAATGAGAATAGACACTAGGAGGAAAATTGTGAAGATTACTGATGAGGAGTTATTGTTCAGTTGGTCTGATTATATTTTTTTAAGAATCAGTGTGTAAGATGGACTGAGCAAAGAGTTGGTTGAGAATTAATATTTCTTATTAGCACTAGAACTCTCATCTCCATTCTTTTTTTTTTTTTCTTTTAAGTTTATTTATTTGACACATAGAAAGCATGAGTGGGAGAGGCACGGGGGGTGGGGGGGTGGGCAGAGGAATCCCAAGCAGGCTCAGCACTGTTAGCACAGAGCCTGATGTGAGCTTGATCCCACAAACCATAAGATCATCACCTGAGCTGAAATCAAGAGTCAGACACTTAACCAACGGAGCTACCCAGGTGCCACATCATCTTCATTCTTTTCTTTCCCTTAATCTTTATCCACATCTACTCATAGCAGGTACCACAGGGTCTGGCATATGATGGGTGGCCAATAAAAGTTTTGTGAATGAGTCTTTCACAGGGATAGAGCATACTGTGCCAGTGGATTATACAAGACACTCATGGAAAGTAACTTTAGAATAAAATAGTAAAAGGGCTTTAACTTTTTTTTTTTTTTTTTAACCTGTGGAGAAGCTGGGCTTCAAATGAATAGTATAAGCAGTATGATGGGAACATTTGAAAGAAAGCTCTAAAATCAAAATAATTTGGAGTTGGATACGAAAAAATGCACTGAAATGAATTTGGTTCTATCAAAATACTACAGATAGTATCTTGATTATTCTGAACTATCATGGATACTTTCTTGATTGCTTTGTTTTAGGCAGTAGAGATTGACTGGTAGTCGAGATGCTAGACTTTGTGGAAGTTACATTTAACCATATGGAACCAGACATTATGTACATAAACAAGCAATATAAATATGGTCATTTTGGACAATAGTGTTACAAAGAAAATAATAGTGTTGTATTAGAGAGTGACTAGAATAAAGATGGAGACGGATAGTGTTTTTAATATGATTGCTTGGGCCTTGCTACTAAAAGTATGGTCCATGGAAATCTTTTAAATAGTGAATTTATGTGGTCTAATTTACTTCTTTCAAAGGGTATCTCTGGGTCTTATGAGAAGAATGGAATGTATAAAGACCATAGAGGAGGTGGAGAGAGGTAAGATGTTCTTGCAGAAGTTTGGGTGACATCGTGGTGACTGGGAGTACAAAGGTGGCATTGCAGGTGGAGATGTATAGAAGTGAATATCAGTAGAACTGAGCAATTACTGATGGGCTGGTTGTGCAAGAAAAATGTTTAAACTAAAAGATGTTCCATAGATACTGGGTATGAGCAATGGATGAACGGTGGTATCACCCACTAAGATGGGAAAAGACTAAGAGAGGAACAATATGATAGTTATAACGAAGAATTTGTAACTAAACATTTAAAAATATCAAGTTAGTCTTTGTTAAGTCAGGCTTTCCTAGTAGATAACTATACTGCAGATATATGTTATGTAAAGCCACTGGGCTATGTGAGAATACCTAGAGATGAAATGTAAGGAATATGCCAGACTTAGGCCCCGAAACACACTAGCATATTAAGATATAATAAGTCCTTGTTACTTAAAATATGTTCTATGGACCTACAGCATCAGCATCACATGACACCTTACTAGAAGTATAGAATTGCTAGACTTATAGTCTGAACTTTTACAGGTAGTTCTACTGGACAGCATTATATTATAATCAACAAAGAAGACTAAAGTCGTATAATGATTGAAGTAGAAGGAATAACCAGAAACGTGTAGTGCCAGAAATGGCAAAATAAGAAAAGGTTTTAGGCATGAAGAAGTGGTCAAAATTATGAAATGTCCCTGATAGGTCAGTTAAGGTAAGAATAGAGACTGTTTTGGGGGGTTTTATCCCAATTTACTTTATTGCAGAACCAGTTTAAAATTTTGCACATTATTATTAATAATCCTCAGCATAAAACATACTCTATGGGCCCTCATTAAGTCCTTTATCTCAGATTGCCTCTAGTACTAACTCATTATTCTCCTTCTTTCTTCAGAAAAACCCATCAAAAGAACTGATAAAATTATTGTCTCTGTGTCTTCATTTCTTATTTCCTCTTCAGTGAATTCCAATCTTGCTTTTCTCCTTATCGTGCCACTTATGGAAGATAGAATAATTTTACAGCGGGAGTGGGAAAGTTTAATGCTTTTATTTGGGAATTCTAGATATTTTCTTTGAGTATGAAAATATTTAAAAAATACTTTTAAATTTAAATATTGCTAAATAGCCCATTTTTATGTTCATTATGGATATAACTTCTATCTCCACATAGCAATCATATCTGGGATTGAATGGTGCATCTATATACAAGCATAGCATAAACATGAGTTTAAATAATCACCTTCATGGTAAAGTGGATAAAATTAATACTGCACCAAGGGATCTGTCAAGATAAATAGAAAGAGGAAATTGAAGATGTTGACAGCTCTATCTATCTGGGTCATGTGTTGATGGGGAATTTAGCGGAAGAAAAAGCTAGAGTGTATATAAAAAAACAGTCTCCATCATTAGGCGAAGAGCTGCTAAAAATAAGAAGAAAAGGAAAAAAGAACTATATAATTCTACCATCCTGTCTCCTGCTGTGCAAGTACCACATGTCTGAAAGATGCCACTAAATGCTGGGTGAGAGCTCTAGCAAAAGGATGTAATCTTTAAGTAACTCAAGGTGTAGTGGCACAGAAAATGCACTCAGCCCTACTGATGTTTTATACTTGGGGTGAGTTACAGGCATAGTGTATCAGTTATGGGGAAGGTAATGAATAATTTAATTAAGATTGTTTTCCTCAAGGTATAGAGCTAAGCCCTGTTCTAAATATTAAGATTTGTAAGTCTATGGCATTGTATTTAATGTCAAAAGAAAGCTATACTTATCAAAATGTTACTAGAGACAGCAGCAAATGCAAATTCCCAAAGAACCAATAAAGTGTTGTGTGCATTGGGGAGTGAGGAAAGGAATAATCATATTAAGTTGTGGGGATGAGAACAGATCACATGAGTAAGAAATCTGCACTTTCTGTGCATCCCCAATACCAGTCATAAGACCCACTACATAGGCACACACAAAATATAGATTGAGTGACTAAATGAGGTAGAAGTTTAAGAAAACTTGAGAAAGTGTCCAAATATAAAAATGGAGCAAAGGAAGGTGAGTTAATGTACCAAATTAGGGAATAATGGAGGGTAGTCTGAAGAACAGGAACATGCAGTGGGTAGGGACATGGATATAAAGTGCACGGTTTGCATTTTGTGCAAACTTTGTCCAACCATGTTCTGCTAGATGAACCATATGCTCTGGTATGCAAGGTGGGGGTGGGGCAAGGGTGGGGGCAAGGGTGTGGACAAAGAGGGGCGTCTGGGTGGCTTAGTCGGTTAAGCGGTTAAGCGTCCGACTTTCGCTTAGGTCATAATCTCGCTGTTCGTGGGTTCGAGCCCCACGTCAGGCTCTGTGCTGACTGCCAGCTCAGAGCCTGGAGCCTATTTCAGAGTCTGTATCTCCCTCTCTCTCAGACCCTCCCCTGATCACACCGTCTCTCTCTCTGTCTCTCTCTCTCTCCTAGAAATAAATAAAAATATTTAAAAAAAAAAAAAAAAAGGTGTGGACAAAGAATCTGTCCACAAGCTGTGTGCTGACAGCAGAGAACCTGATGCAGGGCTTGAACTCATGAACTGTGAAATCATCACCTGAGCTAAAGGCACCCAGGCACCCTGAGAAAATCAATTTTATGCAAAATGGTATGACAAGAGTTCTTATGATTCCTCAATTATATCTAAGTAAACAAACAAATAGCCTTTAAATCTTATTTATAAACATAAGATTTGTCAATATGTTATTCCTGATTGAGACATTATAATACTTTTAGTCTTTAGCCTACCACAGTATTAATCATCAAACAAGGGGATCTATATTTATGATATGTCAGTTACTATATTTAAGGTTGAACAGGTATCAGGAGTTATTTTTTTGTTCTAGCACTATTGTTAATTAATTTTTGTTATATCTGGATAATCTATATTGGTACTAGAAATAATAGAAATAAATTAATTAAAAATTGGTTTAAAATAATTAAAAATAGAGTTGAGTTCAGGACAAAGAATTGGGATGATGAGAACTCATATCAGGATGAGAATAGATTTGGCCATAATTCAAGTTTGTGGGGAGGGAGGGTAATTAGACAGTTTCCATTTGTCCCTCCCAGTTTTTCCTGCACTTTTTCACTCTGTTCTCAAAGCCAACAGTCCTACCCATGTGGACACACTTGTATTCAGTAGGATTTAGCTAATGGGAAGGGGATATTTGTTCTTCTGACTTCCTTTCTGCAGGAGTGTCTTGGGTTGGCTATATCTCTCATTGACATTCCCTGGTCTTCCAACAGTGACCTTCTCCTCTCACTTTCACCTTATGTATTCCAGGAAACATTCCCTCTTGTTCCTTTGTGTCTTCTAGGGCTTGTAACATTTATGCTTCTACTAGTCAGTCAGTATCCCACGGTCTTTTGCAGTTTTGTGAACTTTTGTAACTAATCTCTTTTTAAACTCTCTTCAAAGTATCCTAATGTGAGAGTGACATAACTTTTCTTTTGGGGACACCGAGAAACCAATAGAGCAGGAGATTGTAACAGTATGTGCTGTATTTAGAAAAGGAATATCCAGATATTGCCTAGAGGACAATATTCAGATATTATTAAGGTTGAGAACACTCAGCTAGGTGGAGGAACAATGAGAACAGAAATTAGATACTAGAGAAAATAGGCAGGTCTAAAGTTCTGGGAAGTCATTAGAATGTAAGAATTAAAAGATAAGGAGAAAACATGTAGTAAAACAGACATGAAAAGGAGGAGCTTGATATTAAGGACAAACACTTTATTTCCTCACTTGTCTGAATAACTGTAGGGACAAGAACACTTATGTATCTATAACTGGTTGAGCTCCTGATTGGAAGCACGTAGCTGAGATAATGGGGGTAGACACATATATGTTGTTCTTACCCGAATCTCTTCTAGGTATTGTATCAAGTCCAAATCTCTACTTTTTGTAGTCCCTTAGGATTAAATAGGTTACTCATAGTGAATGAAGTTAGGAAGAATTATCTAGGTGGTATTGTAGGCCAGAATGACAACTCCCAAAGAGGTCCACATCTTAATCTCCGGAACCTGTGAATATGTTACCCAACATAGCAAAGGGACTTTGTAGATGTCATTTAAGATTAGATATTCGAGAGTGGGAGATTATCCTGTATTAGCTAGTGGGTTCAATCTATTCACATGTATGAGGCTCTAAGAGCAGAGAACCTTTCCTGGCTGTGGTCAGAGAAATGGATGAGAGAAAGGAAGAAAGAGTTCGAGACATGTGATTTTTCTGGCTTTGATGATGGAGAACAAAGCCCACCAGCCAAGGAATTTGGGTGGCATCTAGAAGCTGGAAAAAAAAAAAAGGAAGTATATTTTCACCTAGAGCCAATAGAAAGGAATATAAACCTTGATTTTATCCTGGTACGTTCCATGTTGAACTCATGGAACCAGATGATAAATTCATCTTGTTTTAAGCTAGTAAGTTTGTTGAAACAGCAATTGAAAATGTATACTAAGATTGGTTCACAGAGTATGAAACTTGGAAATTTTAGATAAAGAAATAAAATACAATGATAATCCTGGCTCTCTTGGGGGAAAAAAAAAAAGGTTGATGAGGGCAAATGCCTATCAAGAAAGATCCTATTCCAGGTGGAAAAAAAAAGCTGATAAAGAAGACAAATCAATAGGTTAATTGTCAGATCTGCCAATTAACCAGGTATACAAAAGGTCAATAACTTATGCATCGAAGTTTGGTGTTATTCAGAAACTCAAGAATATTCACTTGTTTCGCATATGTGGGATATGACAGTGACACAGATGGAGAGAAGGAACTTAGAGTTTATGGCAAAGCAGGGCTCACTGCTGCCACCTCAAGTCACCAAAAACATTCCCTCTCCTACTCATTTTTGTGTGCTCTTAACTGTTGCATAGCATATCTGTTTATATTTCTTAATTGCCACTGCTAGGGGTGAACAAGCCCTTTAGTATACCATTCCCAGCAGTGAAACTGAGGTTATTGTTGGCAGTAATTATAGAGATTCTGATTTTGAGCCCATGGTTTTAGTATTGACTTTCATTTTGCTCACACCATTTTGATGTTCTCAAGATTTGTCAAGAATTTAACTCTGCCTTCTAATTTAGAGGAAAAATAAAATATTCTGACACTTGTTCTGGCCATTTCAAAAGGAGTGGCTGGAGGAATCTCTGTATACTATGGGGAATGGTTTTCAGATAAGAACACATAGGTTCTTTGTAGAGAATCGATGTCAGAAGGGACTATCGATTTGGAGAATGGGTTTCTTTTTCATTTAGGGCTAGAGAGCAAGAAGGTCTTCACACTTAAAAACAGAAAAATATAAGGTATGTTAATAAAATAAATCCATGTATACAATTCCTTTATATAGGTTATAACCCAATTTGAAAAGCAGTTATACCAAAAGAGAAAGAATTTTGAAACTTTTTCTAAAAGCATTCAGTATTTTTTAAAAATGGTGCTTTAGATTTTGTGATGAGTGTGCATTAAAAAAACAGAAGTCAGCTGGATAATTCAATGAATGTAGATTTTTCCCCCCACATTGTCGTGTTTCAATACAATTCACAGCTGTATAAATAATGCCATTCATAGGCAGAAC